AGGAAATATAAGGCGAGTTGGTAATGTTTTGTATAAATTAGCTTAAATTGTTTTGACCTAAAAGTATCGGTATACAATGTAAATTGTGGTTGGACATCTGTAATGGCGGAGAAGCCTACCGTTAAGATGTTTCCTGTGCTGCGATTCCTGATTATACCCCTATCGAAGCTCACAGCACATCCCATCATTAATCCATTAGGGTTTCACTTTGATAATAGTACGGTGTGCCTTGAACGTCAAAAGCTCGTGTTTTCTAAGACATCAAACTCGAGTTAGTGTTCGAGGGTTGTCTCGTTAATATCCTTCTAAAAGACATCTTGTCATAATGTTTTGATGAGGTCACTGTAGAGGGTTTACGTGTTCTCCACGTGTCAGTGCGACACACTCGAGGCAATGTGTGCAGTATCTTAGAGACAAGAGTAAGACGGAGAAACGTAAAATATCAGCAGTGAAACTATTGAGGGACTCCAACAGTTCACATCATATTATCGGTATAACCCGGATGTCGTTTGGACTTTTAGTATGATCTACTTTTGTTTTAAAATCTGTCATTGTATTTACACCGAAGTTAAAGCATAAACGCCTGATCTACATTGGGGGTGTACGTCACAGTACCCCAAACTTTACTGTCACAGTTTTTGCTTCTACATGAGAGGCGCCCTGTTAGCCAATTCAGGTGGTTTCAATCTTCTTTGAATTAAAGAAACAGTATGGCCATCACTCTGACCCGACCTTTTACTATAAGTTTCCAGTGTCTACTAGAAATTGTTCAGTGTTTTAAGATTAACATAGTTGGTGACTGTCCCCCGACAGATACTACCGGTGGTGCAGATCCGTCAGACCCGAACATTTACAAACAAACAAACCGGTTGTTCCACATAAGTCTCGCCTCCGATTTGTGGTCTTTCCCTTTTGTTTCGTCTGTCCTAATTATTCGCGTGTCATCTTCTATCCCTAAGTTATGTTGGGTACGTTTTTCTCTCCTCATTTTGCTCGGGATTAGGAGACAATTCAATTATTCAAATTACAAATCCAGTAACTGAATCTCAAAGGAAACTGTATAATACACAGAACAATAAACTAATCATGTTATGTAGTGATTTGCTCTAACGGAGACAAGCTTACAATCGGTATATATAGTGTAGTGATTTGCTCTAACGGAGACAAGCTTACAATCGGCATATAAAATGCAGTGATTTGCTCTAACGGAGACAAGCTTACAATCGGCATATAAAATGCAGTGATTTGCTCTAACGGAGACAAGCTTACAATCGGTATTTATAATGTAGTGATTTGCTCTAACGGAGACAAGCTTGCAATCGGGATATAAAATGCAGTGATTTGCTCTAACGGAGACAAGCTTACAATCGGTATATATAACGTAGTGATTTGCTCTAACAGAGACAAGCTTACAATCGGTATATATAATGTAGTGATGTGCTCTAACAGAGACAAGCTTACAATCGGTATATATAATGCAGTGATTTGCTCTAACAGAGACAAGCTTACAATCGGTATATATAATGTAGTGATTTGCTCTAACGGAGACAAGCTTACAATCGGTATATAAAATGCAGTGATTTGCTCTAACGGAGACAAGCTTACAATCGGTATATATAATGCAGTGATTTGCTCTAACAGAGACAAGCTTACAATCGGTATATATAATGTAGACTTTATCACAAGGAGTATAATTCAGGGATACAGAACACAACACAACATATGTTTATGTTAATTTAATTCATGTCGTTAACAGCAAAACATATCTGAGCATTGGAATAATAGTCTCAAAATGACGTCAGCTTCCTCACTCCACACAAAAACAGTCGTCAACTTGCTATGAAATTTCCTTTTTTTCCAAAACTAAAAATAACGATAAATACAAAATATGGCTAATTATATGGTTATATATGGTCAAAAGATATCCGTCCCTATAGTATAATAAATGATACTTACATATATATAACATTTGTAATTACAGTATAGTTATATATAAATATCCTAAATTACAGTATAGTTATATATAAATATCGTTAAGTTACAGTATAGTTATATATAAATATCCTTAATTACAGTATAGTTATATACAAATAACCTTAGTTACAGTATAGTTATATACAAATATCCTTAATTACAGTATAGTTATATACAAATATCCTTAGTTACATGTATATATCCTTAATTACAGTATAGTTATATATAAATATCCTTAATTACAGTATAGTTATATATAAATATCCTAAATTACAGTATAGTTATATATAAATATCCTTAATTACAGTATAGTTATATACAAATATCCTTAGTTACATGTATATAACCTTAATTATAGTATAGTTATATATAAATAACCTTAACTACAGTATAGTTATAGATATTAACTTTAATAATTACATTATAAATTATATATATAACATTTGTAATTACAGTATAGTTTATATATAAATAACCTTTATACTTACGGTATAGTTACATATAAGGTTTATTATTACAGTACAGATATATATATGTGGTGTATACATAGTTATGTCAATCCGTAGTATAATTCTATGACTACAGTATACCTGTGCTAACAGATTGGGACAGCTACAGGGGTTAGTAATGATAAAGCTACACTTACATCAAGCTGCCTAATTACCTGATGGGATTCAAAACTGTAAATGTTATCAAATAAACTGAAATCTCGATTCTGCTATTTTTATAAATATCAATAAAAGTTATTTGGGTTGGTTTACATGTATCTGACGTACAATAGTAGCTCACGGGTACCTGGCAATATACACCTGTCCTTGCCAGCAGTTATCTGCCAATGATGACAACATTGCGTCTGGTGATGACAGGGTAATGACGTCACTGACAAAGTAAGGCGTGTGAAGTAGTACCATGCATTTGTTCACCAAAGTCATATCTATTTTTGGAGTGACCTGTTTTCTTCTGTGTTTTGAAACTAAAGCAAATGATTTAACAGCTAATAACAAAAAGCATGAACGAATAATACCAGGTGTTGTATGTCAGGTATACTTAAAATTCATCTCAAACATTTGTTAATGTTAACCCATTCACCCCTAAAGTCACATGTGAACATTACCAAATCATTGACTGAGCAAAGCCAACTTAAATATGTAGGGGTGAATGAGTTAACACTGAAGTATTTTGACATAAACAGCTGATCAGAAAACGAAACCATGGTGACGTCACCACAAAACAGACCACTCTCTCACGGATACATGTACCACCTTATAGAGAGTTTCAATAGTTTCATTGGGTTATTAAGAAATTAAAACCATGCCAACAAAACTTGGCATTACTATTAAGTTCTCCCAAACAATGTTTAATATCTAACGTAAACTGTTACTTTATTAGGTCTGGTTTGGCATACAGTTACTGTTGGACAGACTTATAGATGTACACAGGCGCGTAGCTACCATGTAAGCCAATAAGCCCGGGCTTGCACATGATTTTGACAAGTATAGGTTTTCATGACGTTATTTTTTCTTGCTGATACTATAAAGTGGCGTTTAAGTTTTGAATTTATAGTATACATATGTAATTCCTCAGTTATGATACATTGTTAATAGTTAGTACAAAAATGTATGAAGTTTAGAAATGTCCATTGCATTAATGGACAGTTCCAGGCGGAACTAAACTGCTCGATTGAGTAAATTGAGAAACTCACGCCTGGGGCAAACGACTCCGAGTATGGCACAGTGGACACAGACAATCAATGTTTTTTTTATGAAAATATCAATTTGGGGCACGTTCGGCCCCTTTTGCCTGGGCACATTCGGCCACCCCGAATGCAACTGCTATTGTGCCAAGTGACGTCACTATTGATAACGTCACCCAATTGACCACAAAATTATTATTTTTACGACGCAAAAATTGAGTATTTTTTTCTTTGTATTCACTGATTTGTTCTGGACTTATTTTCCAACAGAATTGAATGAAATTCCATACACTTATTAGTAAATTGTCTTCTCTATCCTTCATGCCATACTTGCCCTGGTAGGGGCCGGATTTGCCTCAGGGCGGGGCTCGTCCGGCCCCCAACTCTCTCGACCTAAATAGTCCAATAATTCCCAAAATATGGGCTTGTTTACGATTTGGTTATTAGTTTATGAAAGACAATACATTTCTTTTCTAAATGACATATATAAATATGCATTTCAACAGTATAGTACATGCCTTCCATAACGTCTTGAAAAAAGAAAAGGGGCCGTGTTTGCCCCGGTCCCCCCTACACATGTATTATACATGTGTAGGGGAGACCGGGGCAAGTCCGGCCCCTTTTTTAAAACTATATTATAGTTAACAACATATCATTATCTCAGACATTAGGACGTGGGAAATGGCTCCTGAGACGTTCTAGAAAACAAAATTTTCATGGGGGAGACCCCTCAGACCCCCCTTACGGGAGGGGGAAGACCCACTCCCGTACCCTCCCCCTGCTCGCGTTCGCGCTTCGGTGGGGAGGGGGCTGCCTTCGGCAACCCCATATCGGGGGCTTACACATGGTAAAGGGGCTAGCTACGCGCCTGGTACACCTGTTATATCCGGTCGCCAGTAATATGTTACTTGAAATCTTAACATGGAATATTGTGTCAATACATAAAACCAACAAACATAACAGTTTATATAATATAGATCATGGAATAGATTCGCCTCACGTCATAACAGTATATATTGTATAGAAATATGTAGAGAGAAAATATACAATACCTTCATATACATAATTTATAATAAGAAAACCATAATAAAATATTAACTACGGAAAAAATACTGCTATAGCAACGTAAGTAAAAAAAGTTTAATGGAGATTTGTTTTAAATCACAGAACGGTTCTCATAGGACCGTCCGTGAGCGACTGGAACATACCAAAAATTGGACTTTACTCTGAATACCATTAAATTGGTTTTTCTAATGTCAGGAAAAATGCCATTTTTAACGATCAATCTTTTAACGAAAACATCATAAGGGATTAGAACGGTGTAGTATGTTTTCACGTGATTATATTGTATGTCACGTGGCGAAGTTCTGAACTTAAAGACGTCAACTGTAAACGACCCATAAAACTTATTTCTGAAGAATTTCAAACATTTCAAGAACAAATTCAATTTTCAACGTGAAATCAATGAAGCTCAATTGTTTGCACAGCATCTAAAGAATTAAACAACAATATATACTTCTTGTCTTGATATTTTTAAACAAAACCAACATTCATCAAAGCAATCACATGATTAATGACGTCGCACAAACAATGACGTCACGCACTTTGTAAAACTCGAACACATAATTGATATTCCTCGTTATAACATTCCTAAGACACTTATTTACATGATATATTTGTTTGGAATGTTAACTTGAGTAATATAAAAATAAGATATAAAACATATCGTAGATGAGATCTCTTAATATACATTATGGATATGATTTCCGACCTGGAATATACCGGAAGTGATATCACAGAGACATATGGAACGTTACATATAAACGTGGTTATAGGATTGGTTCATTTTCTATCTCAACAATAATCCGTAGTCATTGGAGTTCATGATCAAACATACATCATTTTTCTCTCTGATTTTTAGGGAACATCCTCTTTTGACTACCGTGATTCAAAGACACTTAAGACTGAACCATTAGTTGCGCCCCGTACTCGTTCTAGGACCCGGTACCTTCCATTCACATCTTACAGAACTGGGGACGGCTGAGGTTGCTGTTTTTGTCGTTGACTCGGGGAGGATCCCCGTTACACATACTACATGTACCTACGTAGTACCAATGACAAGCACGTGTTATTTTAACGAATTGAAGTTCTACATCCTATTGATTATAAACACTCCTAGTGCTGTTCAGGTCACACACGTTTGTCCTCATTGTAAGTTCATCAATTAATAATTACGTTTCAATTACCGATAACCACGTGTCTTACCGTAGTGTAACCTGTATCCTCTGCCGATACCGACGACCTCAGCTATATGTTGTTATAGCCGCTAGTGCACGTTGTCGACAGTGACCTTACAATCGATTACGGGATTTATCTGCTTAGCAACACGTGTAAGTAATCAATTTAGGCTTAACGGAGACATAAAGCGACTCAAAAGAATTTATTAACCTTCCACTCGCATTATTCCATAACGACACGACGAACCTCATATATAACACAATGGGGTTCAATTTCCATTCGTCTTGATCAGGTCATTTTAAAAATGTAAAGATATACATATATTGACATCAATATTGTCGACAGGAGTTCAAACAATATTAATTTTGGAATGATGACGTCATATGAGACAGTCTGGTTTGGTAATTATTGATATCCGTGTCCGGCTAATGGCTCTCTCTGACACACGATATTGACACGGGTCGGACAAAGATGACCACAAACTGTAATATAAACCATCCCTGATGTGAAGTACGGATAAGGTCATTCTACATGTAAGAGATAAAGTATACAGGTTACTTCGAGCATCGAACCTCTGCTCAATAGCGAGACCCCGAGGCAGGATAACATTATTATGATACTCCCATTCATTACACCCAGACCCCTGAGGCAGGATAACATTATTATGATACTCCCATTCATTACACCCAGGCCCCTGAGGCAGGATAACATAATTATGACACTCCCATTCATTACACCCAGGCCCCTGAAACTGGATATCATTATTATGATACTCCCATTCATTACACCCAGGCCCCAGAAACTGGATATCATTATTATGTTACTCCGATTCATTACACCCAGGCCCCTGAAGCAGGATATCATTATTATGATACTCCGATTCATTACACCCAGGCCCCTGAGGCAGGATAACATAATTATGATACTCCCATTCATTACACCCAGGCCCCTGAAACTGGATATCATTATTATGATACTCCCATTCATTACACCCAGGCCCCTGAAGCAGGATATCATTATTATGATACTCCGATTCATTACACCCAGGCCCCTGAAACTGGATAACGTTACACTTTCATATTCACGACACAAATGCCCTGAATAAGGATACCATAACATTGTCGTATACATAACATCCAGGCCCCGAAATAGAATATCATATACACTGTCAAGACATTCAGTCCTTGAATAAGGATATCAAAGTACATATACACAACACCCTGGCACCGAAAGCATATATCATATCACACTGTCGTTGACACGACACACAGGCCCTGAACAAGGATGCCGAAACATTTTCATGAAAAAACACACCCAGGCTCCGAAATAACATATCACACACTGTACACAGCACACATGCCCTTACTGAGAAAATACAGTAAATAAACTAACAGTTATTATGTAAGCATACAACGTGTATCCCAGGAGAGATTTTCAAAAATTGATTCATAAATAAAAGTATAAGTCCAGTAAATAATGTAAATAGTAGCTATTGGTATACATACAAATAAACGTAATGAAAATGATATGTACTGGAATTCTTGATCACTTATTCATCTTTTTTTGTGTCAACAAATACAAAAATCCTGTAACCATTGTTTCATAATTCAACTGACAATTATCTACAATTTTTTTTTCAATAACAGTGTAACACCAATTTTAGCGTAGTTTAACTCAGCTATCCATTAACAGCTCAAGAATGTTTTTTTTTTATATTAAATATCAGTTCGAATATCTGACCGAAATTAGCCAATAAGCTGTAATGCTTACGGGATTAACTAAACTTGATTTAAACTGTTTTTATTCAAACTTGAAACCTGGATATGGATATCTAACCGAAACTATCGTAGATTCGGGGCAGGAAACGCAGACTTATGTTTCAGATAAATTAAGTGAGCAAAACTGCCATCAATCAAAACGCTTGGCTATTACCATACCAAAAGCATTGCACCAGCGAAGCGGTCATTTGTTTATGAGATGAAGGCAATTTAGGGATTATGCAAATGTTATGGGTCTGAAATATTCTCAATGTCAATAGTTTCGTAGTCATCAACCCATATTTACAGAACATTCAAACAGGATAATCAGATACCTTAATGTTTAAGATAAGGAAAGGGTCATACATATCTCATTTACTAAGGACAATATTATCAAAGGTCATCAATTCCTAGGACAGTATTCTACTGTTTTGGTCAGTGATGTTTTTGCAACTAATTCCTAGGATAGTATTATTTTGGTGTCTTCTAGGTCATCTACTGGTCACTAACTCCTAGGTCAGTATTCTACGACTGGTCACTCAATACTAAGATAGTATTCTACTTTTCAGGCAGCTTAATGATCTACTTGAAAACTTGTAAAATATGAAATTAACAAAATGTTCTTGCATCATAAAGACTTAACTGTGACTTATATGCCAATTATATTGGCAATTTGTTGAAATATGTAATTAATTTGTGTGTTTCCAAAACTTAGTACATTTTTGTTTTACGTATAACGTAACATAAATTACGTGAGAATTATGTCCCTTTACGAAGAGAATACAATTGAGAGGTAGTGCTGTAGATGTCGCTAGTAGTCATCAATGATGATCTTTGACGTCCGGGGACGATCCCTCCATTTTTCTTGCCCTATGCACACCCCTGGTCCCCGCCACCACCGTTCCAGATCCTTGTACACGGTTGACTGGTGATTTGGGATCTCGTGGACCATCGCGCACAGTCGGCACCAGAAAAAGGTGTTGACGAAGCTTCCGGTGCCTTTCCATTGGAAGTACTCGTCAAATAAAGCGTCATTTGTGTCCAGTTTATGTAAATAATCTGCTAATGCTTTGGGAGATTCGAAGTCATCAACATGAATGAAGGAGTGCGGAGGTGCTGCTCGTCTATAGTCCTCCGGGGCCGCTCCCATCACGATTGGGATAACGTCATGTCTGCAAAATAGCAAAACAAAACGGCTGTGAAATATTTTGGATACCATAATATGACGATTGTTAGTAAGCAGAGTAGGCATTTCCACATGATACGACTCCCTTCCTCACATTACTTGGACAACCCAACAACCGCGCTAACCGTGTGACATATGAGCATGACATAACTGGTCACGTGATCTGATGCCCCCGACCAAGGAACCAAACGTTTTTCTCCGACAGCTAAGGTTAATTATGACAGTTTCTACAAAAAGTGGGGCCACCGGAAGAGGCTGTTCTACCGCGTCCTAACGAGCGATTGAAGAGATGCTAAGGTATTGAGACGGTCACCAATAGGAGAGCACAACAGCAAACATACAACAGGCCGATTTAATGAGCATGTAAACACACATTTCACCTTTTCCATTTTACTACATACACATACGCAACGTGAGCACACGATCAGTTTACATTACCATATCCTTTGTCCCACCGTTACGCTGTCATACTCAGGACGAACATATTCTATTTTGTTGTGTGCATTTTTTTTCTTCTCCGAGCTCATTTTCTACGTATGTGCTCAGTTCCATAATGCCATACACCCTATCAGGTGCGACGACGGGTTTTATTACTCAGATATACTGTTCCTCATGAATGCAGCCAACTTCGTCGTGCGCTCTACGCGAATTTTAGGAACTGTCTGTGATAAGAATGCCGTGATTTTCTCTCTTGTTCGCGAGGACACAGTCCTTTAGCTGCGTTCTTCCACGTCGATTCTGTCGTTTTGTGGGATTTTTGTCACTCTTTGCACACCAATATCAATAAAGCTTTATGATAATGACTTAAAAATGAATGTTTCGTTTTGGTGCGGGCCACTCATTAATCTTCTTGTTTTGTGGTGTTTTCTCGTTCAGCCTTATCCTTTAGTGAAAAGGAAAAAGTGACAGTCAGATAGGGTATGTTGGTGACCTTCATATTGAACTTTTACCCATTAATTGTATGAGGTGTTGTCGGGACCAGTATTGATGTTGCTAGATACGGCACACAAACCTAATGTAACCTATAACCTGTAATCGGAACATTTCTAATTAAAGAGATTAAACTATCAACGGATATGCATTACCCCGGCGTAAGTGTTAGACTAATACAATTAATTTGACCAAGTTAGAAAGCTGATTGTCTTACACTTTTATAAACAAGTTAGGAATAGTAGTCCAGGATGTGAATGTAGTGAACACGCGTCCGATATATACATGTATAAATAAGAGGCCCAGAGGACCTGTATCGCTCACCTGTTTCTTTTGTTACACGAAACTGACATGTAGGTAACTTCAGACCAAGGTTGGTAACTATTACACAAGACATTTTAACATATCTTAAACGCTTCTAAAGATATTGTTGTTTGAAATCTCAAATTTTGATTTTAAAGCTTTTAACCCTAGTTGACCTTTGTCTCTGGCTACCACTTAAAGTTGACATTTGACCCGATTACTGTAATTAAGAAAAAGATTCACAGCTGGTCTTCATAACATACCCAGGTACATGTATCATGACAAGACCAAATGCTTCTAATGATATCGTTGTTTGAAGTTTTTAACATATTTGATCCCCGTGACCTTGAAAATAGGTCAAGGTCATTTAAATGAGGAAACTGTAAAGAACTCCATCCCAGGTACATACTGGCCACATATAATGACCCTGGGCCCTATGAAACTTTAGAAGGAGATTGTTAAATTTTTAACCCATGTTGACGTTTGACCCCCAACTAGCACTTAAAGTTGACCTTTGACCTCATGACTGTAATAAAGAAAAAGATTTGCACTGCTAGTCTTTATAACATACTCAAGTATCATGACTCTAGTCTAAATGGTTCTAAGGATATTCTTGTTTGAAGTTTTTAACATATTTGGTCCCTGTGACCTTGAAAGAATGTCAAAGTGATTTTAATGAGGTAACTTTGTAGCACTCCATCCCAGGTACATACTGGCTAAACATCATGAACCTGGGCCTTATCGAACTTGAGAAGAAGATTGTTAAAAGCTTTTAACCCATGTTGACAGTTGACCCCCGACTAGCAAGTAAAGTCGACCTTTGACCTCATTACCGTTATAAAGAAAAAGATTCGCACTGCTGGTCTTCATAATATACTCAAGTATCATGACTCTAGTCCAAAAGGTTCTTAGGATATTGTTGTTAAGGTTTTAACATATTTGACCCCTGTGACCTTGAAAGTAGGTCAAGGTCATTTTAATGAGTAACCTTTATAGCACTCCATCCCAGGTGCCTACTGGCCAAATACCATGACCCTAGGTCTTCCAGTTCTTCAGAAGAAGTCTTTCAAAAGAAAAAGTGGACGGACGGACGACGGACGCCGCAGTAAGGCATAAGCTCACATGGCCCTTCGGGCCAGGTGAGCTAAAAAATGAAATTTACCGTTACTTATTTTAATTTGATGTACATAATTTAAAACAGGAGACTACTTGGGGACCCGGGGAGATATTAGAGATTGTTCAATAATGGTGTGTCTAGTAGTTACTAAGGTAACCGGCATCAGCTATAATCACATAAGAGTTCAATTATTCTCCCATAACATATGATTTTTTTCTAGCATAGAGTTACTTCCCTTCTAAAGTAAGCCATATCTCATATTGATGCTGTGCATTTGTAATTCTCGTTCCGAAAATCCGAGTTCAACTATTGGAGTAGTTTTTTTTTCAAATACTCATATTTTAAACAACTTTAATTCTGTAGAATACATAGCAAGACATAAAAAACAAAACATTTCATAATACTGATAATGATAATGCTGGAACCCTTCACGTGTGTGATAACCATGTACGTCACATTATGCAGAATGTAGATCAACATATACCCTCCCACGGCCATATACACGACGGAGACGGGTCTACCTGTGTATAATCCACATGTTATAACGGCCGATCGACGGATTGGAATAATCTACTGAACATATTTGAATATTAAGCCGACCAAACCTTCTCTTACCTTCTAAAATATACACGTGTGACATGAAACACAGGGACACGCGAATTTGTTACGGCAGATATATATATATATATATATGTATGTTTGGGACTAGTTTAGGAGTTTAGATAACCGCTTGGTAAATATACTCATCACGGGGGAGTAATTTAACCGAGAGATTATTTAACCCCCTAAACCGTCCAATGTTATGAACATTGCACTTTAGTCTCCAACACAGCTGATGTAATCAATTCTCCTGTCCCTGTGAAAGACACAAATGACGCTGATACGTACATATCTCAATCTGTAACAGTTGCTCCAGCAATTGTAAACGTGTCATACTGGAATTATTGATAATGACAGGTGCGTGTGATAAAACGGTACTACGCTAACCTTGAAACCGACAACATCAATACCTGTACGGATAACCTGTCAAACGTAGCACCAAGTGCAGAATTAGAACCATACCCAGTGGGCTATGAATAAACAAGCTTTGTGCTAATTATATGGAAATTACAAAATGATATCGATAAACTCGTAAAACATGCCCTAACAGTAAAGACAGGCACACTAATGGTAGCTATACATGGTATAGGGTACACTCGTTACGTTAAACCGCAAAATAAAAAATAAGTAACTTAAATCCCCTTTTCCTAGGAACATACTTTTTGATAAAATGCACAGCATTGACAACAGCAGTAAATCGTGTTTAAACAGAGAATCAATAGAGTAACTAGTATCTATAATTACTTCAATTTTCAGCACAGACTGCCAACAATAATACGTAACATTTTCAGCAGACTTGTGAAGCTGAAGTAGACTTCTCGTCAGCTTGGTCTCTGTAAATGTTGTAAGATTTTGGTGATGGGGCATTTCATTTTTTAATGTAAAGACAACTCTATTCTAACATAAAATGTCTTTCTAAAAAAAAAAACCCCAAAAACCCAACGAAAACATAACAAATGCAGCATTAAGTAAGGAACATGCAAAATCTACCAATATTATCATATCATGGTCTCCACACTAACAAGTAATATCAACTGAGGAAGGAGTATGGAATGCCACAACTGTCTTGGGAGATCATTAATTACTATATTAGGTGTTTATGTCTTTATAGGCAGTAGTTATTATATTTATAGGCAGTAGCTATTATATTTATAGGCAGTAGTTATTATATTTATAGGCAGTAGTTATTATATTTATAGGCAGTAGTTATTATATTTATAGGCAGTAGTTATTATATTTATAGGCAGTAGTTATTATATTTATAGGCAGTAGTTATTATATTTATAGGCAGTAGTTATTATATTTATAGGCAGTAGTTATTATATTTATAGGCAGTAGTTATTATATTTATAGGCAGTAGTTATTATATTTATAGGCAGTAGTTATTATATTTATAGGCAGTAGTTATTATATTTATAGGCAGTAGTTATTATATTTATAGGCAGTAGTTATTATATTTATAGGCAGTAGTTATTATATTTATAGGCAGTAGTTATTATATTTATAGGCAGTAGTTATTATATTTATAGGCAGTAGTTATTATATTTATAGGCAGTAGTTATTATATTTATAGGCAGTAGTTATTATATTTATAGGCAGTAGTTATTATATTTATAGGCAGTAGTTATTATATTTATAGGCAGTAGTTATTATATTTATAGGCAGTAGTTATTATATTTATAGGCAGTAGTTATTATATTTATAGGCAGTAGTTATTATATTTATAGGCAGTAGTTATTATATTTATAGGCAGTAGTTATTATATTTATAGGCAGTAGTTATTATATTTATAGGCAGTAGTTATTATATTTATAGGCAGTAGTTATTATATTTATAGGCAGTAGTTATTATATTTATAGGCAGTAGTTATTATATTTATAGGCAGTAGTTATTATATTTATAGGCAGTAGTTATTATATTTATAGGCAGTAGTTATGTGATTATATTTATAGGCAGTAGTTATGCGATTATATTCATAGGCAGTAGTTATTATATTTATAGGCAGTAGCTATTATATTTATAGGCAGTAGCTATTA